AGTATAAATCTGCTGGTAATAAATTCATTCAGCATTCTTAAAGAATATTTATTTCATCTTTAGTTTGAAAGATTGTTTTTGCAGGGTTTAGACTTCTGGGTTGACAGTTTTGTTGTTGTTTTGTTTTGTTTTATACCTTTATTTTTTATTTTATTTTTATGTGGTTCTGAGGATCGACACATGTGAGACAAGCACTCTACCACTGAGCCACAACCCCGGCCCCTTGTTGTTTTGTTTTTTAACTTTTGTTTCCTTTAAAATGTTACTCCAGTGGCCGGGGTTGTAGCTTAGTGGTAGAGCTCTTGCCTGGCATGCATGAGGCACTGGGTTCTATCCCCAGCACCACATAAGAATACATTAAAAAAATTTTTTTTTTAAATGTTACTCCACTGCCTTTGTCTTGTATAGTCTGATGAGAAGTTCACTACTCTCTTATTTTAGTTCCTCTTATGTAAAGTGTCTTTTTTTTCTTCTGGTCACCTTCGCATTTTTCTTTCTTTCTTTTTTTTAATATTTTTTAGTTGTAGATGGACACAATAGCTGTATTTATTTATTTTTATGTGGTACTGAGGATCGAACCCAGTGCCTCACAAGTGTGAGGCCAAGCGCTCTACCACTGAGATACAGCCCCAGCCTCACATTTTTCTTTATCTTTAGTTTTTAGAGGTTTGATGGTACAAGTGTATATGCACACTTCTGTGTGTTTTTTCATTTTGGTGTTTATCCCAACTGAGGTTCTCTGAGCTTCTTAGATTCACCTCATTTTTTTCCCTTTTCTCTTCCTGTGATCCATTGTCATATTTGTAAGTCTGTATAATGCCATAATTATTGGAAGTTCTGTTCTGTTATTTTACCACTCACCACTCCTTTTTCTTTTTGAGTTCAATCTAGATAATTTCTACTAACCTATTTTCAAGTTTCTAGTTATATTAGCTGTTTCTCTCCCCAGTGGGTTGTCTGCACACAGTCAATGAAAGGAATTCTTTAGGTTTGACATCATGTTTTTATTTATAGTATTTTGATTTAATCCTTGTTTATGGTTTCTATCTTTTGCTAAAGATCATCTCATGTTGTTCAGTGTTTCCATTAACTTTTTTAACATTTTAGTCATAGTTATTTTTTAAATTCCTGCCAGATATTTTCAATATTTGTGTCTTCTGAGAGCCTGTTTCTGTCAGTTTGTCTCTTGAGAATATGTTGGGGGTTTTTCTTGCTTATTTAAGTTTCTCCTAATGCCAGATATATCTTGGGTCTAACAATAAAGACTGAGTTTAATAGCACTTACTCCTGGAAGTAGGCATGCCTCTTCTATCGTATTATTAGTTCAGAGGTTGTTAGTCTAATTAGAAGTAGAGCTGGGTTTAGATTTTGTTGTTGCTATGGTAACAGGCCAGAAGTTTCAAGTTAGTCTAGTTATGGATCCAAACTTAGAACACAAGCTATGATTCTAGAGTATTTTTCTCAATATTGGAGAATTATCTCTTGCTTTTGATCATTCCTGATTGCCCTTGCCACAAAGAGGAGGGTCTGTGTCTTCTGTCTCTCTCTCTGTCCTTCTTCTCCCACTCTCCCTTTTCCCCTGAGATCTCTATTTATTAAAGGTTGGTAAAGGCATAATATTTTGGCCCAAACATTTTCCTTCCTCTCCCTGAGGGATTAAGTTTTTCTTTTGTGTGTTTTGCTTCTGGGATTCCCAGGAGTATTGTTGGCCAAATACATATTTTCCAGCTTAGAGTTTTCTCCATCTTTTAAGTAACATATATTTGTATCCTAAACTTATATAAATAGGTAGACCCACAGCTATAGATTCTCAGAGGACACTATTTCCCATCCAGAAGGGAAACAAGATTTCAAATATTTTCTTGTTATCTCCTTATGCATAGGTTTAGAATTTTTCTATCCATGGTTTTAAAAAGCTTCTTTGTGGGTTTCAGCTTAATACAGGGTTCTGAATTCTAGCCTTCTTCCACATATGGACCCAGTGAGCCCATAGATTATCAGACTGGCACTCTCCCCAAGTCTGGCTGTCAGTTCAGCTCATATACTTAATGTTAATGGATTTCAGTTTTGTCTGTTTCTGCAACGTTTATTTTTCTGTATGCATATATTATGTCAGTCTTCTATATCTTTCAAATGAATACCTCAATTTAACTAAAATAATGTCATATTTTACCTATCAGTACTAGGTAGAAGAAGGATTTGTAAATTAGTTAGCTAGTCATGCTATTAGAATCACAGTTTATAAATAATCATTCTACTTATCAAATTTTCTAGAAGTTTGTTTATAATATTATATAGCCATTCAGAGCAGTGCAGACTGGTGTCAGGATATTTATATTTCAGTTTTTCTCTATCACTTTCTGTCTTGAGATTTTGGTAACTTACTTGATCACTTACTTGTGGCCTCCATAGACACATACGTAAATGGAGATAAAAATCTCCTACCTCATGGAAATGTTATAGGAAGGCACTTAGCACATGATAAGTGCCCAACAAATGTCAGTTTTTAATAATTATCTTCAAATATTTTATATCTTAATTCTTATTTTACTTATGTTTTAGCCATGATGAAAATATTGGGCTCCATTTTTAGTGTTTATTAATATATCAATTTGGCTACTTAATAACAAGCTTTATTTTCCCCCAGATTGCTGCCTCTTCAGAGAAATTATGCTACTTTCTTCAGATTTTCCAAAATCTCAACTTTAGACTAGTATTGTTTTCATACCTAATGTAGGGTGTACTTAGAGTACAAATGCAATGTTATGGCTTTATCTCTATTAGGGACACAACAACCCCATTTTCCAATATTCATATGATTCTATTAAACAAAAATCTCTAATTATTGTATTACCAAGAACATTGATTTAGGCATTACCATAAGCATTGATAAACATTAGAATGTTAAAGGTATTGTTATTTTGTACAGTGGAATGAACAAATACTGTTTTTGTTTTTATTTTTACTTATAAGGACATACAAGGAAGAAAACTCCCCTTAAACAGGGACTTCAAAGATACTATAAAAACATCCAGTCTAAACACAGGGCAACTTGTTAACAGTTGTATGCGAAATATCTGTGTTGTTGTAGAACACTTCTTCTTTGTCTTATGTAGTAGGAAAAGTAAATTTTAACTAGTGTCTGGACCTTTTGATTCTTTTAAAAAAAATTTTTTTTAGTTATAGTTGGACACAATACCTTTATTTTATTTATTTATATCTATGTGGTGCTGAGGATCGAACATAGCGCCTTGCACATGTTAGGTGAGTGCTCTACCTGTGAGCCACAACCCCAGCCCTTTTTATTCTTGCATAGAATTTCACCACCATTTGAACCAAGAAATAAAACAATCAGTTAGCTAGTTTGGTCTTTTGGGAAGGAAGGAAAAAATATCACAATTGTCTGGGAGTAGCTGATTAAAGAGCTTATTTGTGAGCAAAGGGAAAGGGAATTTTAGCCTAGAAGCTGTTAAGATAGGAGGAGGATATCTGGGAAGGCTGATTTTTCTTTTTTTGCTTCATTTTTTTTTGCCATCAGCAAGAAATTTAGCCAGGCGCAGTGGTGCATGCCTGTACCCCAGCAACTCAGGAGGCTGAGACAGGAGGATCTTGGGTTCAAAACCAGCCTCAACAACAGCGAGGCACTAAACAACTCAATGTGGCCCGGTGTCTAAATAAAATACAAAATAGGGCTGGGGATTTCGCTCTGTGGTTGAGTGTTTCTGAGTTCAATTCCCAGCACCAAAAAAAAATTAATCAAAATGCTCATTTTTTTTGACTGAAATATTTAAAGAATACTGGATGTACCGTACTGAATGCAGAGAGAAACTAAGATGTCACCATCATCACTAAAGAAGATGAAACCATATCATATGTTAAACATCTGAAACTGACTTATTTTTAATTGAAAATTTAATCACATAGTTGTACATATTTATAGGGTACAGTGTCATATTTCAATATATTTATATAGTGTGTAATGATCAGATCAGGGTAGTTGGTATATCTACACTGCAAACATTTACCATTTCTTGTAATTTTCTTTGGGAACACTCAAAATCTTCTTGGCTTGCTATTTAGAAGTATTCAATTAGTTGTTGTCAACCGTAGTTATCCTACTATGCTATCGAAACTTAGAAGAAGTTATCCCTCCTATTCAAGTGCACCCCTGTACTTATCAACTTTTCTCTCTAGATCTTCCCTCCTCACAACTTCTCAAACTCTGGTAACCACTGTACTGTTCTCTCCTTCTAATGAACTGTATATTCTTCAACACAAAGTCTCTGATGTACTATCTCAGGGAAAAAAAATCCTAAATAGATCTCAAATATGTATCAGACTTAATTTCACTCAATTTGTACTTGTGGCTCTACTCACAAATTGAGAAAATCCCTTATAAGCTAGTGAATCCCTGGTTTTACATTTTTAGCAAATAATGTGTAGTATTATTTTTCATATTATGTTAATTGATATAATGAATTAAAATTACCATGAAGTCAGTGTGTTACATTGGAAAGAACACTCAACTCACAGGTTTACAAGGTCCAGTTCTTTTTTAAAAATTTATTTATTTACTTGTTCTAATTTGTTATACATGACAGCAGAATGCATTTCAATTAATAGTCCACATATGGAGCACAATTTTTCATTTCTCTGGTTGTACACAAAATAGAGTCACACCATTTATGTCTTCATTCAATTCCTAGGGTAATGATAATCCATCTCATTCCATACAAGGTCTAATTCATCTAACACTAAACTAGTTTTAGAATCTTGAAATCCTGAAGAAAGTACTTCCCGAAACTGAATTTTTTTGCTTGAAAAATAAATAAGAATAAAACTCCTTTTCACTTTTTTCTCAAAGGACTTTTGTAAAAATTTATCCTGATAATATCACTTTGTATTTGTGTAGATTGATGGTGATATTTTTAAGCTACATAATTTAAGGAAATCCCAATATTTATGTGTTCCTCTCAGAATTTTTCTTATTATATTTCTAGGCCTTTAATGATTGACCCACAGGGTCAAGCCAATAAGTGGATCAAAAACTCTGAGAAAGAAAATCAGCTCAGTGTTATTAAGCTATCAGATTCAGACTATATAAGGACATTGGAAAACTGTATACAGTTTGGAACTCCACTTCTGTTAGAAAATGTTGGTGAAGAACTGGATCCATCTTTGGAGCCTTTACTACTTAGACAAACTTTTAAACAAGGTACAAGGCAGTTAATATTGATAGAACTTACAGATGATTGTCTTATCTTTGAGACATGATAGAAAACCACTGTGTAAATTTAATAATAATGTTGATAACTCAACTTCTTCATCCTTGTAATGAGTATAAAGACATTTGAAACCAGCTATCAGGAATGAACCTTGGTTGGATATTCCAAGATAAATATGTTGCCTTCTCTTCTCTGTCTTAACTATTGTTATCTAGACTCTTGTTCTATAGAGAACATGAAGAAGTTGAAGCCAGTCTGAAATTTCTTTATCTTGTGACTATTGACCACACAAAATCCATTATTATGAACAGTGGTGGTGAATGTGGACTAGAGTTGAGCTTAGGTAAACATTGCCCATTTTATATCTTTCTGCTTATGAAAATTTTGTCTCTGCTAAGGTCTAGTACCTTTAAGCGCTTTACTTACATATAGTTATTTTGGGATCATGATTGAAATTTGATGGATTAAGGAAACTCAAAAGAAATTTTGATTTGTGAAGTTCATGACAATTAGAGAAAATATCCTATACTACTCCAAGTACCACTACAGAAGAATCTATTTAATTGCTTACTTGCCTCTGTATCTATGACTTTTGTCATACCAATTTTCTATTTCAAATTATTTAGGACTATTTCAAATTATTTAGGACTCTATTTGTAACCTAGGCAAGGCCTTAAAAGAACATGGGAGGGGCTATGTAATTTTGGCTTATTTGTAACGCATTTGTTTTATGAAATATAGGTGGCCTTGATTGCATCCGACTTGGTGAAGTCATTATTGAGTATTCCTTTGACTTCAAATTTTATATCACTACAAAACTGAGAAATCCACACTACATGCCACAGCTGGCTACAAAAGTGTCTTTGCTCAATTTCATGATAACTCCAGAAGGACTTGAAGATCAATTACTAGGCATTGTTGTTGCAAAGGAGAGGTATGTAATTTCTTAGAAGCTTCCTTATAATCTAGAGAGGAATATTTGTAGACCATTTTATATTTTTGTTTGGGGATTATTTTGAAACTGTTTTTGTATTTTGTTATTATAAATTTAATAATTATATAATCCTTTAAAATAGCCAGTAATGAGTAAGTTATAAGCCAACCAGGTTATGTTGAGTTTTTAGTATGAGTAGTGGGATTCGAGTTACATGCCATGACTTCTGACTTACATTTTGTTGAGACTAAATTTTCATCTCTAAGAATCTATGCCATGGAGATAATCAGAAATACATTCAAAGGCTTGTATAAAAAATAAAAGATGTATAGAAATGTGCATGAAATTAGAAAATGCTTAGGATACTAAGGAAAAACTAGGACACAAAACCATATACATACAGCACAGGTAACATTTTATTTCAAAAAGTAATGGGTGGATGGATATCTATATATACAAAAAGAAAAAAAAGGACTGGAAAGCAGTATACCTGTTAACAGTGATTATTAATGGTTCTGTAAGATTGTGGATTCTTTTATTGTTTTCTTTATGCTTAGATATTTTTTTCATTACTAATATATATTATTTTGAAAATGAGAAAAAATATAAAACCCAGAGAAGTTACAGCAAAGAATTGCTTCTGGAAAGAAATCTTTTATTTCTCTTGAAGTTTAGTATAACATAAGTGGTCTATTACATGAATTCAAATTAAAAGTGAAAGTATATAACTGTGAGGTAGTTTTGTTACTTCCAATATTGAAATTCCACTTATGTCTAAGAGTAAATTATGTGATAGCATATTTTAGAACATGGCAAATTGTGTTATTTGAAGTTTCATCCCATCTTTTTATTAAGACATATCTTAATAATATTGTTTAATACTTAATAATAGTATTGTTAGATTTACTGTGGCACATGTTATTGCCATCTTTGATACAAACAATATTCTCTTTGCTTGAATTTAAGTTGTTATTTGCATGAAAGTATTTTCCCTTAAGTTACCAATCACTTCAGTTTGTGACTTGTATATAAAATAATTTAAATGTCTACAAAATTTTGATATATTTAGATATACATAGATAAATTTAGACTAAATGTTTCTATCTTTTTAGACCAGAATTAGAAGAGGAACGAAATGCTCTTATTCTTCAGTCTGCAGCTAATAAGAAGCAACTAAATGATATAGAGACAAAAATTTTAGAAACATTATCATCTTCAGAAGGGAACATTTTAGAAGATGAAAATGCAATTAAAGTCTTAGACTCTGCCAAAATGATGTCCAATGAGATAACAAAGAAACAGCAGGTGAAAAAAGAATCCTAGAGATGTTTTGATTCTTGAGATTTTAATTTGCTTCCAGTCCCTGAGGAAACTGGTGTAGTAGCCTTCCTGGAAAAGAAAAAGAATTGATTAAATATGATGACATAAAACTAATTTTAAACTCATAAAAGAATAACTTACTGTTGAATTATTGAAAACTCGATTGGAATTTTTTTAAATATTTATTTTTTAGTTGTAGTTGGACACAATATCTTTATTTTATTTATTTATTTTTATGTGGTGCTGAGGATCGAACCCAGGGCGTCGCTCGTGCTAGTCAAGTGCTCTACCACTGAGCCACAATCCCAGCCTTTATTGGAATTTTTTAAAGATATTTTATTTCTTTTTTTAAAAAATTTTTAGTTGTAGATAGACACAATACTTTTATTTTGTGTATTTATTTTTATGTGGTGCTGAGGATCAAACCCAGTGCCTTACACATGTAAGGCAAGGACTCTGCCACTGAGCCACAACCCCAGCCCCTTGATTGGAATTTGAAGAACAAAATGCTCTTATTCTGTAGTCTGCAGCTAATAATGAACAACTAAAAGATATTGAGAAATATTATCATCTTTAGAAGGGAGAATTTCAGAAGATAAAAGTACAATAAAAGCCTAAATTCTGCCTGTATGGTATCTACATGTATCTTTATACAGAAGAAATTAATTTACAATGAAAGTTTTTAAAATACATTGGGGTTGTTATTGGGTAAATAAGTCACACTCTGTCAGGTTCACTTAAGTTTTAGTTGACTCCTCATTTTATTTATTATTTATTTACAGTTTTATGACTTTATTTAACTATCAGCAGTTACTTCTCATCCACATTGACTGTAGATTTTTGAACGTGGTAACGGAGACATAGGTTACCAAAGTATAGAGCTTGTTTGGTGAATTTTCATCCTCCTTAGATTTTTCTGGATAATCGCACACCAATACGATATAGGACATTCCTTATTTCTTTGGCCCAAACAGCTTTGTTGAGCCTGGTATCAATGCGCACATCTGGGGTTCGGCTCTCCTTCATGGCAAATTTCCGGGTCTCTTTGAGTGCTGGAGGAGCACTTCTTGAAGCCCACTCCATGGATGCACTTGTGAATGTTAATAGTGTATTCCCAGGTCACGACCTTGTTGAAGGCAGAACAGCCCTTCTTTCTGGGAGCCATTCTGCCAGGCCCAAGTTAGAAAGGAAGGGCAGAAAGATTGTGGGAGGGAAAGCCGCGTTTGACTCTTAACTTTAAAAGTTGAATTTGAGAATTTGTCTTACATCTATTAGTGGTTGGAGGTAGTTGACGGGATAATAAGTTGTTCAAGGAGGGACTGGGGCTGTCGCTCAGCTGCAGAGTGCTTGCCTAGCAAGTGTGAGGCACTGGGTTCGACCCTCAGTACCACATAAAAATAAACAAATAAAATAAAAGTATGCTGTCCATCTACAACTCCAAAAAAAAAATGTTCAAGGAACACCCCCAGTAGGGATGGTTTTGACATTACCTTGTCACGTGTTTATCGGGGAGAGAAATATAAGAAGTGAGAGTTGCAGATAGAGGCAGGGAGGCAAGTAGTCTACAGCCAATACTGTATTTATTGCAGATTCATCTAACACAGCCAAATGCTCTTCTTACATTATTTTTCTTTATAGAATCATACAGTGTTATGGGTGGAAGAGACTTTGCTAGCAGCTCTCTTTTGCACCTCATAGTTGAGAAAACCAGTGTCCACAAAAGTTAGTTGAGGCTCAAGTTTACACAATTAAACAGCATTGCAGAATGACTCCTACAGGCTAACTTTATAAGTTTTCAGGCCTTTTAGTCCTCCTTAGTCCCACCCAATAAGGTATTCCTTCACTTTAGGATAATTAAAAAATAAAAAATCAGGGCTGTGAATGTAGCTCAGTGGTAGAGCACTTGCCTATCATGTGTGAAGCACTGGGTTCGATTCTCAGCACCACATGTAAATAAATAAACAAAATAAAGGTCTATTGACAACTAAAAATTTTTTATTTATTTTTCATTCTAATTTGTTATATATGATAGCAGAAGGCATTACAATTCATATTACACATATAGAGCACAATTTTTCATATCTCTGGTTGTATATAAAGTATATTCACACCATGTCTTCATACATGTATTTAGGGTAATGATGGCCATCTCATTCCACCATCTTTTCTACTCCATGCCCCTTCCCTTTCCCTCCTACCCCTTTGCCCTATCTAGATTTCACCTAATCCTCCCATGCTCGCACTCCCAACCCCACTGTGAATCAGCCTCCTTATATCAGAGAAAACATTCAGCATTTGGTTTTTTGGGATTGGCTAACTTCACTTAGCATTATATTCTCCAACTTCATCCATTTACCTGCAAATGCCACGATTTTATTCTCTTTTATTGCTGAATAATATTCCATTGTGTATATATACCACATTTTTTCCAGTATATAGGATTTATTTATTTTTTATTATGTAAATTTTTTATTTATGTGTGACAGCAGAATGCATTACAATTCTTATTACATATATAGAGCACAATTTTTCATCTCTGTTTATATACATAGTATATTCACACCAATTCATGTCTTCACATTTCACCATCAATAGTTACCCTATGCCCTTTCCCTTCTCCCTCTATCCCCTCTTCTGTTCCCTGTCCCACTATGAATCAACCTCCTTGTATCAAAGGAAACATTCGGCATTTGGTTTTTTTGGGATTGGCTAACTTCACTTAGCATTATCTTCTCTAACTCCATCCATTTTCCTGCAAATGCCATGATTTTATTCTCTTTTATTGCTGAGTAATAGTCCATTGTGTATATATGCCACAGTTTCTTTATCCATCTACTGAAGGGCATCTAGGTTGGTTCACAGCTATTGTGAATTGTGCTTCTATAAACATTGATGTGGCTGTGTCCATGTAGTATGCTATTTTTAAGTCCTTTGGGTATAGACTGAGGAGTGGGATAGCTGAGTAAAATGGTGGTTCCATTCCCAGTATTCCAAGGAATCTTCATACTGCTTTCCATATTGGCTGCACCAATTTGCAGTCCCACTATCAATGTGTGACTGTGCTTTTTTCCCCTACATCCTGGCCAACACGTTTTGTTGTTTATATTCTTAATAGCTGCCATTCTGACTGGAGTGGGATGAAATCTTAAAGAGTAGTGTTGACTTGCATTTCTCTAATAGCTAGAGATATGGAACATTTTTTCATATATTTGTTGATTGATTGTATATCATCTTCTGAGAAATGTTTGTTCAGTTCCTTGGCCCATTTATTGATTGGGTTACTTGAATAACTAAAAAAAATATTTTAAAAAATCAGAATAGATACTGCACTAATCCTTTAGTAATCTTCCACTGTTCTCCATTCCAGTCTAGTTTCACTCAGAGGCAGAGGACTTTGAAAGTGTTTAGGTACCCTTTCTCTTTGGATAGGTTTAGTTTTGCATAAATGTGATCATAAGGAATATTTTGTCAGGTGTACTCTCCTACTTCATCTTGGGAAACCAAAGATGTAGGTTCTTAGAAAAATATTCTATGGCATCCTCCACCTGGAACCATGGATGGAATATTCTATAGTATTTCCCTTCCTAATTCCTGTTCATCAGAGCAGAACAAACAAGCTTCTCATTGTTCCCTCACTGAACTTTTTAAAAGGCAGGAGAGGCTAAGGGTCATTTACTAGCTTATTTCCCATTAAGACTCAAGGATAAAAGGAATGTAAGTATCTTTTGATTCAAGTATTTTATCTTTACTATTAGAAGGAAATTTATTAAACAATATCCTGCTGCCTAGGTTCCATTGATTATTACGGACATTGTTTAAATACACTAAATAATTAGCCATGAATTCTATGCCACGTTCTGCAGAAGAAAGTTCCCCTACATAGTTCAAAACCTGCTTTTCCCTTTTATCCCAAACTAAAAAATTAAACATACGCACACTAAAAAAATTAAGATTTTGTTTTAAAGATTTCAAAGCTTACCCCCACACTAGTGATATTATGACTGAAGTTTAGTCTTTTTGATTCTTAAATGTTACAGACCAGGATACTTTTTACAAATAATGAATTATCCTATTTTAATATCTCTAACATATATTCACAATGTTCATTTTTTATAAAATGCTTTGTTCTTTGATTTTGGACCATTAATGGTAAATGATTTTTAAGGTATATTTCTCAATTTTAATTTTTCAGATTAAGGATCCAAATTTAGCAGAGATTATTTATAGATATACCATTGAGGGACTGGGGCACTCAGTGGTAGAGCTATTGCCTAACAAGAAAAAAGCCCTGGATTCAATTCCTAGTATCACCAAAACAAACAAACAGTCAACCAAGCCAAGGAATATGAATTAAATTATTATTTACTATTTTAAAATAATAACAATATTTGCTATTTGCTTTTGTTTGCTACTGTTTTGATGGTAAAATAGCATTTGAGTTGAAAATTCAAGATTTAAATGGTAGAATGTTTAAATAGGAATGCTAAGAATATGCTTTTTTACATAATATTTCATTAATTCCCATTATTGTTAACTTTGTTATGCTTATTATAACAAGACTGAGATGCAAAATTTACTTTCAGTTCATTTGTAGTTCTATTATATGATTTTTGGGAATGTTTGTTTGCAGGAAGCAGAAGCCCATTTAAAATAAAGAATATATATGGCATTTGTGTTAGTCAGATTTTCATCACTGTGACAAAAATGCCTGAGAAAATGGATTTAGATGGGGAAAGATTTATTTTGGCACACATTTTCAGTATCCAGTCTAACTCAGAGGTTTCAGTCCAGCTCCATTGATTCTGGGCCTGTGGTGAGACAGAAAAACATGGCAGGGAGGATGTGGTAGAGCAAAGTTGTTCACCTCATACCAGTTGTGAAGAAAAGAGAGAGAAAGAGGAAATGGCCAAGGACATGACACATTCCCAAGGGCACAGCCCCAATAACCTACTGCCTTCTAATCGTTTCCACCTCTACAGTTTTCACTACCTCCCACTAGTCTATTTGAATTATGAATACATCAATGGATTTATTCACTGATGACATAAAAGCCCTCAGGATCCAATCATTTTCTAAAAGCCCCACCTCTGAACATTCCTTCACTGGGAACCAAGACTTTAACACAAGAGCCTTTAGGGAACATTCCAAATCCAAACCATAACAGAGCATTTTATTTTACCAACTACAGGAAGTATCCAGATCTGAAGGATGAGTGGAAAGCATTTAATCTCTTTTTCTTTCTCTTTCTGGAGTATTTTTCTCAATATTGGAGAATTATCTCCTGCTTTTGATATTCCTGATTGCCCTTGCCACAAAGAGGAGGATCTGCGTCTATCTTTCTCTCTCTGCAACTGTGTTGTCATCTTGGACTTGACTCTACTCTATTTGAGGACCAATTTCTTCTGTAAAACTTATGTACCTGTTTCTGCATATAATTATCTAGCACATAGAAACCAACATGTTGAAAAATTACTATAACCTTTTAGCCCTAATGCCTAGTTCCACCAAAAACTTCGGTTTATGAGACTCAAGTTCTGATTCTCTAGGGAAATTTTAATTAGCGTATCTTGGGTTTAGTTCTGTCCTTGTCACCTGACCCAATCAATGACAAATAAGTTCATTCAATATAAACATGACTGCATAGGCATTCTTATTCACCAGAGTTGGTAGATAACAATACCAAAGAAAGGAAAATGGGTTAGAACAGTGCTCTGAACTCTTTTTTCCTATAAAATCAAGCTATCAAATTGAGTTGTCAAATGAAGAGTTATTATCTTAGAGAAAATTTTCCTTCTGGGTTGATTATCTACAGCTCTATTAACTCTCGAACAGTTAAACATATGAGAAAGTAGTTGGAAAAAAGTGTTCTCAGTGTATAAAACCATCAACCAGACTTTGTGCTGGGTTCTAGTACACATTAACATCCTAAACATACATACATACATATTGTTCTCTGTCTTCCTGCCCCATCATTCTTTGACCTATTAAACAAAAGGGGGTAAATATTAGACACATGTCAGAATCAAGTAGAGAATAATCAAAGATTGATAGCTCTGGTGTTCCTCAAATAAAAAACAAATTATGGGTAATCATGCCTTTAATCTGTTAAATTTGAAATTAAAATCTTTACTGTTTTCCTCTCTTCTTCACTCCTTAGTTCTTCCTTTCTCTCCTTTTCTATTTTAGCAGGATAGAACCCTTTTTTGTAAACTATACTTAAGTTAAATTCATATAATTTTTCATCAGGTTAGAGGCTGTTTTCTTAAAATATAAACTTGGTCATATGAAAAGTACATAAATAAAATACTTATTTTTTAATCTCAATTTTTCTCTTCTAGATTGCAGAAAAAACAGAACTGAAAATAGCAGGGTCTCGAGAAGGCTACAGACCCATAGCTAAACATTCATCAGTGTTATTCTTTAGCATTGCAGACCTGGCTAACATTGATCCCATGTACCAGTACTCTCTCATCTGGTTTGTGAATCTTTACATCAACTCCATTCATGACAGGTAAACCTTCTCTAGCTTCATCCATCCTCCCTAGGTTGAATTTTCACTATCCTTTCCATTTTAAAAATAAAACTTTTAGCTAGATACAGAGGCATACACCTGTAATCCTAGCTACTGGGGAGGCCGAGGCAGGAGGAAAACAAGTTCAAGGCTAGCTTGGTTTACTTAGCAAGACCTGCCTTAAGATGAAATTATTAAAAAAGAAGGAGAAGGAGAAGAAGAAGAAGAAAAAATAGAAAAGTCTGAGGATGTAGCTCAGTAGAGAGCACTTGGCTTGGCATGCCAGAAATCCTGCATTCAATCCCAAGTACCTAAAGAAAAAAAAAATCTGTTTCTAATTAATTTTGCAATATAAATTCATTGTAAATCATTAAAAATATGAGAAAGTAAAGGAAGGAAGGTGGAAGAAAAAAGAACAAAAGAAAGATAATTAAAGTCTTCTTAAAAATGTTTCATTCCTTAATTTAGGCATAAAGGGATTGGCTTTAGTCCTTTTTTTCTCTTTTAAATATTTTTAAAATGCACATGATTTATTTTCCTCTAGCCATGGGGACCCTAAAAGGCATCAGTCCCACATTTCTGACAATTTGCTGGATATTTTCCCTTAACTAATTAATAAATGTACACAGATTTTGGAGTCAGGGATTAAATCTCAAGTTTTCTCACATACCATAGGCAAGTCAGTTAATGGCTCTATGATTGTCTCAGGTTTCCTTATCCATAAAATAATGATAACATGGTGCACACCTCTAATCTCAGTGGCTTGAAAGGCAGAGGCAGGTGGATAAAGAGTTTAAAGCCAGTCTCAGCAATTTATCGAGGGGCTAAGCAACTCAGGAAGATCCTGTCTCTAAATAAAATACAAAAATTGGGCTGGTTGTGGCTCACGGGTCTAGTGTCCCTGAGTTCAATCCCAGGTACCCCCCAAAAAAGGGATAATAGTATTACCTACCTTTGGGGGTTCTTATGAGGATTTAAATAAGACAATGTTTACGAAGTATTTATATATTGTCTAGTATTTAGTGACAGCTCTACTCATTAAGTAGAATTAAAATATGATTTGAGCCTATCACATGTGCTATAGGAAATTTCTTTATACATGATTTCTTGGGAGAAAAATCTCAAGTGATTGAAATCTCTTAAGATTTCCCAACTGGATTTTGGAATTTGAATTTACATAAGGCATATGATAGAGGAAGTTTAAGTTGAATAATTGACATAAAAGTCAAACAAAAGTTTTAGAGAGAATGTGGAATAATTGAAACTTTCATACACTACTGGTGGGATTTTAAAATAGCATGGCCACATTGGGTTACACAAAATATTAAACAGATTTGCCATTTGGTCCTGTAATTCTACTCCCGGGTATATACTTAAAGAGAATTCAAAGTATATGTCCACACAAAAACTGTTTTTTATTTTTAGATATAAAATACTATATTTTGGGCTGGGGTTGTGGCTCAGTGGTAGAGCACTCGCGTAGCACGTGCAAGGCCCTGGGTTCGATCCTCAGTACCACATAAAAATAAATAAAGGTATTATGTCCAAATACAACTAAAAAAATAACTATTTTTTAAAAATACTATATTTAAAAGTTAACTTGTTGTTTTCCCTTTCAATGAGGTAATGTTATGCATATGAAATACAGTTAGGTTAATTTTTTTATTTTTATATTTTATTCAGGGTTTCCCTTCATGTTTGTTGAATTTATTATGTTTGAGTACATAAACCATTAATGACTCCACAAAAGTAAATCCTGTAAAAAAAAGGCCTACTTAGAGAAGTGTCAGTACCTAACCCTTTAACTGTATTCCTATGGACCAAGGAGTATTTTTAAAATATCTTTATTTATTTATTTTTATGTGGTACTGAAGATCGAACCCAGTGCCCCACACATATGAGGCAAGTGCTCTACCACTGAGCTACAGCCCCAGCCCCCCCGCAAGTAGTATTTTTTAATCAAAATTAAAATTTGAGATAAGTGTAGATTCACGTGAAATTGTAAGAAATGATGCAAATCTCATGCACCCTTTACCCAGTTTCCCCAATAGTAACATTTTGAAAACCTATAGAACAATATCATAATCAGGATATTGAGATTAATATAGTCAAGATAAAGAACATTTTCATCACTACAGGGATCCCCAGATTGCTCTGTTATTTATAACTATACCCATTTCCCTCCCAGCCCTACCTCTTACATTTCCCTCACTAACAGAGATGATTGTTTTCAGCTTAATATTTTATGGAACTTTCAATGTGGCCCTGCTGTTTTAAAATCCCCACGGGTAGTATATGAGAGTTTAAATTACTCCACATACTCTCTGAAATTTATGTTTGACTTTTATGTCAATTATTCAACTTAAACTTGAATGACTAAAAACAATCAGTTAATTGAAAGAAAGAAAAAAAACAACCGTCAACACCTACTGAATTTCTGTTAGTGAGGGAAATGTAAGAGGTAGGGAGGGAAATAGGTATAGTTATAAAAGTTACTTAGAATTTTGAAAACACAAAGATGGTATGAAACATACTTTGTTTTTTTCACAGAATGGTACTTCATTTTAAAAAACTATTTTGAAATACAGATTCACAAGAAGCTATAAACCACATATACACACAAAGTATAGGGAGGTCCCATGTGCTTTTACACTGTTTCTCTGATGGTAACCTGTTACATAACTATATTCCAATATTACATACAAGAGATTAATATTGGTGCAATCCATAGAGCTTATTCACATTTCACTAGTTTTATATTCATTATGTGTGTGATTTCAAATGCCTTTCATAGTGAATATTTTGATAAATATGTTAATTAATGCTACTTATTTTTACTTAAGTTTGCTTGACAATATGTTTTCCTTTTCTTTAACCTTTTAGTAATAAATCCAAAATTTTGGAAAAGCGTCTACGATATCTAAACGACCACTTCACATACAACTTATATTGTAATATATGCCGATCACTATTTGAGAAGGACAAACTATTATTTTCCTTTTTATTATGTGCTAATCTTCTCCTGTAAGTTACTTGCTTCTTCTTAATTTACTAATTTTAAAACCCTAATTTGAAAATTTAATGTGTAAAGATGGCTTCTCAGAGAAGGATATAGTATTTTGCTTGATCTAATTCTTGATTTTAATTATAGCCTTCACTGATAACAATGTCTTCTACAGTAGTATTAGTGTTCAGATGTTTATTTGATTTTTAAATTTTGTATAATACGTAGATAGTTACAAAAGTTAATAAATAACCCACTAAATTCTTACACAGGGAAAATTGGGTCAAGAAGTAGAACATTCCCATCATCTCTGAAATGCCTCTGTGCTCCTTAGTTGCCACTCCCATGCTTTCTCCAAAGATAACTATTATTCTCAAGGATAACATTGAAATTTAACTTTACTTTTATATAAATGAAAGCACACATGATAAGTATTAATTTATCTGAATACTTTTCTTCAACATTATTGTTATTTTTAAAAGTTTTCTGTTCTTTTTTTAAAATTTTTTTAGATGTCGATGAACCTTTATTTTATTCATTTATTTATACATGGTGCTGAGAATCGAATCCAGTGCCTCACACAAGCTAGGCAAGCGCTCTAGCACTGAGCCACAACCCCAGCCCTCAACATCATTTTTATGAGATGCGATATTCCTCAATATTATGTATGAATCCATCCATATTGTTTCATGAAGCTCTCGTTTACTTGTTTTGATTGCTTTATAATATTCTAAGAATACATTAAAGTTTATCTGTTATATTCTTGAACATTTGAGTTGTTTCCTGTTTGGCATTATTATAAACAATAGTGGTATGAACATTGTTGTATATAGATAGATATTGGTGCACATGTGGGCAGATACCTAGAAATTTGTAAATCTTTTCCAGAATTTTTTGTACCAGTTTCCATCCCATTAACAGTTTGTGCATTCCATTGCTCCTCATACACACCAACATTTTGTATTGTCATTTAAAAAATACATCTTGGTATATGAATATTTTATTGCATCATGGTTTAAATTTGCATTTTTCTGATGACCAATGAAATTAAGCATTTGTTTATATATTTATAGAGCATTTGAAAATCTGTTGTAGTGTGATTGTTCAAATGACTTGCCCTTTTATCTTTTGGGTGTTTTGTGTTTTTCTTATAGATTTGTATGAGTTCTTCATATAATATAGATACAAATCCCCTGACAATTAAATATGTCAAATTGTTATTTGCTCATCAGCTTACTTTTTCATTCTCTTAATGCTGGCTTTTATTAAACACAAATTCTTAATTTTAATATCATCTTACTTATGGACTGTGCTTAGGGAAAACTCTTTCCTTGGCCCAATATTTTTTTAAATATTTATTTTTTAATTGTAGTTGGACACAATACTTTTATTTCACTTATTTATTTTTATGTGGTGCTGAGGATCGAACCCAGGGCCTCGCATGTGGGAGGTGAGCACTCTACCTCTGAGCCATAATCCCAGCCCCTTGCCCCAATATTATGGGGATATTCTCCTATATAATCATATTGAAACTCTATTATTTACCTTTCACAATTAGATCAATAAGCCACATGCAACTGATTTGTGTTCATGGACAAAAATAGATACCAGGTTTCACATTTTTTTCCATATAGTTACTGACTTCTTGAAAAGACTATCCTTTCTCCATTGCTCAATAGTGCCACCTTTGCAATAAATAATACACACAGATCTAAAGCTGTTTCTGCACTTTTTATTCCGTTCCATTGTATATTTGTAAGTAGTATTTTTAAAAGTCTCAATATATGATAGTTTTGTTTTATCTTTTTCTTTTATTTCCATATAAATATTAGAATTATCTTCTAAAGTTCCAAATATAAAGATACTCAGCAACCTGTTAGAATTTTGATTAAGAGTGCATTGGAATTACAGAGAAGTTTGTGAAAAATTAACAATTTTACTATATTGAGTATTCCCCAAGGACATAGTATGTCACTCCATTTCCTTAATTAATTCTTTGTTTTACTCCATAATGTGTCATACTTTCCTGTCTTGCACATCATTTTAGAGCCTTAAGTTTTATAGAGAAGTTCAAGATTCACATCAAATATGAACAGAAAGTACAGAGACTTTAAATAAACAGTCTTCCTCACTAACAAAGCTCCTCAGAGTGGTATGTTTGTTATAATCCTTGAATTTACATTGAAATAGTATTATCACCGATAAATAAGTCCATAGCTATATCAGGGTTCACTCTCAATATTGTGCTCCTGCAGACTTTACTAACATATAGTGGTATATATTCATCATTATAGTATCATAGGGAATAGTTTCATTTCCATAAAAAATCCTTTGTGTAAATTCAGCCTCCTCTCCTTCCTAACCCCTGGCAATCAATTTTCCTTTTACTATCTTCATAGTTTTGCCTTTTCAGAGTGTTATATAGTTGGACTCATCAACATATAGCTTTTGCAGATTGGCTCCTTTCACTAAATAATATGCATTTAAAGTCTTTTGATGGCTCAGTGACTCATTTATTTTTAATTCTGAATAATATTCCATTGTCTGAATGTACCACAGTTTATTTATCCATTCATCTACTGAAGGACATCTTGCTTATCTCAAAATTTTGAGTTTCAGGTGCCAGTTTTTTGTGGAGATAGGTTTTCCATTCCTTTAGGTAAATACCAGGAGTACAGTTGCTGGATTGTATGTAAGAGTTGTTTCAGTTTTTTAAGAAGCCATCAAACTACCAAAGTACCTGTACCATTTTGCATTCCCACCAACAATGAATGAGAGTTTGTGTTTTGATTTTGAATATCGGCTATTTTGATAGGTATCTACTGTAATCTTGTTGGTGTAGTCGTGATTTGAAATTCCATAATGAAATATGATGCAAAGTATCTTTTTCATACACTTACTTGCCAGCTTTATGTGTTCTGCAGTGAGGTGTCTGTTTCCGTCTTTTGCCCTTTTTTTTTTTTTTAATACTGGGGATCAAACTCAAGGGTGCTTTACTACTGAGCAACATTCCCAGCCCTTTTTATTTTGAGACAGGGTCTTACTAAGTTGCTTAGGGCTTCCCTAAGTCAGTAGGATCGCCTTGAACTTGGAATTCTCCTGCCAAAGCCTCCCTAGTTGCTGGAATTACAAGGGGGCTTCCTCACACCTGGCTTGCTCATTTTTTTATGGGATATTCATTATATTATAATTGAGTTTTAGGAGTTCTTTGTATATTTTGGATAACAGTCCTTTATCTGATACATGTTTTGAAATATTTTCTCTTAACTCTGTGGCTTATTTTCTCATTTCTTGATATTGTCCTTTACAGAACATTTTTTTTATTTTAATTAAGTCCAGCTTATTTTTTTTTTTTCATGGATCATGCCTCTGATGGTGTAGCTAAGAAGTTTTCACCATATTTAAGGTCACCTGTATTTTCTGTTATTGTTATGGTTTGGATCTGGAGTGTCCCCCAAAGTCACATGTGTTGAACATTTGGTCATCCCCAATGCAGTAAAGTTCAAAAGTGGTGCTTTGGGAAGTGATTGGATCATGAGAGCTCTGACCCCATCAGTAGATTAGTTCATTGATAGCTGAATGAACAACTAGGACGTGGTGGAAACTGTGGGCCAGTGGGGCATTGTTGGCAGAAGTATATTACTGGGGGTGTGCCCTTGGAGACTATATCTTGTCCCTGGCTTCTTCCTCTCTGTTTCTCTCTACTTCTTATCTACCATGAGCTGAACAGCCTTACTCTCCCACATCCTTTTGCTATGATGATCTGCCTCACCTCAGGCCCAGAGCATTGATGCTGACTGATCCTGAACTGAAACTTCTGAAATGGTAAGCCAAAACAAACCTCTCCAACTTTAAGTTTCTTTTGTCGGGTATTTTGGTCATAGTAACAAAAAGCCGACTAAGTTTGTCAATATCTACAAAATAACTAGATGAAATTTTGATTGAGATTGTAGTGAAATGATAATCAAGTCAGGAGGAGCTGATACCTTGGCAGTATTGATATTTCCTATCTGTGTACATGGAATATCTCTTCATTTATTTAGATTTTTTTATGACTTTCATCAGAGTTTTGTAGTTGTCCTCTATCTTATACATATTTTAATAATTTTATGCTTAAATATTTTATTTTTGGTGCTAATATAATTAGTAATTGCTTTTTATTTCAAATTCTGTGTTCATTGCTGGCATATAAAAAATCAGTTGACCTTTGTATGTTAACCTTATATCCTGAAGTATCGGTATAAGTATTTTTAGCTCTAGGATTTTGTTGCTGTTATTGAATTCTGTAGAATATTCTACATAGTCATATCATCTATGAGCAAAGATTTATTTCTTCCTTACAAATTTGTGTAACTTTTTTTTTATTGCATTAACTACTACTTCCAATACAGTATTGAATACGAATGGTGAAAGTAGACTATTATTCCTGATTTTAGTGGAAAAACACCTAAATTTTCACTACTTAGTGTGTGTTATTGTTTGGGTTTGAAATGTTTCTCAAAGACCCATATGTTAGGATCTTGGTCCCCAATGCAGCAATGTTCAGAGATAGGGCTTTTAGGAAATCATTGGATCTTGAGACCTAACATTATCGTATAATCTATCCTCCAGTGGATTCATAATTCAAGTGGACTATTGGGAAGGAGATGGTAGAAACCAAACCATAGAAGGTGGAACCTAGTTAAAGGGTGTGGGTCCTTGGGGTGTCCATTTGGGGACTATATTTGTCCTTGGCTCTTTCTTCTCTTTATCTACTTCCTGGTTGCCACAAGATAAGCAGTTTCACTCTGCTGTAACCTTCCACCATGATGTTCTGCCTCACCACAGGCCCAAAAACAATGGAGTCAGCTAACCATGGATTGAAACCTCTGAAAATTGTGTGCCAAAGTAAATCTTTCTTCCTCTAAGTTGATTTTCCCAGGTATTTTGTTATAGTGACCAAAAGCTGACTAATTCTGTGTAATCCTAGCTACAATTTTGTATACATTCTTCATTCATCAAGTTGAGGAAGTTCCTCTAT